TTTTCTTCAGTGCAGCTTAATATAAGTAAAACTAATTAGATAACGATCATTAAGCTGCAGATCGTTTTAATTATAACAGGAACAAGTTTAATTATAGGGAATTATATTTATAACAACAATATGACGGATGAAATTTCGATGAAGAACGTAAGAATAGAGCTTGCAAGTTGTAACCAGTGACCTGCATTGGAAAGCCAAGGAGTAATTTTATTCTTCAGATATCTCTAATAATAATTTGAACTTCGAATTGACGTCACTAAGCGAGATATACTGTATAATGCAAGATATTTACCATTTTTTATTTTCCGAAGAATCTATTATTTATTTTATCTGGTAATCTACACTAATTCGGGGTCTACTTTGACAGAATAAATAAATAATGTAGGAAAGTTTCAATGGTTTTACTTGTACCGTCATGCGATATGAAGGGAATTAGATAGCTTGGGTCGAAGACGAATAGGATAAATAACGTTAAATAAATATGTATGTAATATTTTAGGCCTAAATTTTTTTCCAGTCATCGAACGGTTTTACTAAAAACTTTCATTATTTTTTTATCATTAATTTTATTTTTTTTTCTTTTTATTAAATACACATAAATAAAAATTTTTTAGTAAGGTTGCGTCATTCAAAAATTTTTAGAAATTTATTACAAAAAAAAAAAAATAATTTTTCATTGAAATTTATAAAAAATTTTTTTTTATTTTATTTAAAAAATTTTGCGGTTTAATTTTTTATTAATTATAATCAATCAATTAAAAAAAAAACCTGATGAAGTGCCTATAAATTTGCAGTTATTGAAAATTTGCTATTAGTTTTAATAATTTTTTTCATTTGAAGTTTTTCAAAATAAATGATAAATTTTTATCTAAAAACAATAATTGTGCCAAAATAAACTAAAATCTAACGATTTAAGATATGTTTAATCTTAACATCGAATAACTTTCGGAAAATTAACTTTATCGAAAAATCACTCAAGACCTTTTTTGAATGAGTGTTTAATTTCCTATAAAAAATATTCAAAACATAAAATTCCAAAGTCTAAAAAAATTTTTAATTTGTGACTTCTAAATTTTAATTTTTACGGCTAAAATTTTGACAGTCTTTATTTTGGAATTATTTGACGAAATTTCAAGATCATTTGAACAAAAAAAATTTTCGATTTTTTTTATACATCCTTATATAAATATAGAAAAAAAAGCACAAAAGTTCATCCAGCCAGCTCGTCGCCTCGGGTAATATTTTTACACTGGACAATCGATACTTTTGTTATGTATAGTACTGACTTTCCAGACTAGAGATATAGAAATTCTCCGGTTTTGTTCCACTGGGAATTACCTTATTAACGTTCCAAAGCTTTTTTTATCAATAAAATACCTCTCATAGTTTTATGGCGGCTTTATAAACTTATTTATTTGGTGTAATTTCGGTAATTAAGGTCATTTAGGGTGTTTGAATAAGTCACGCCTAGTGTTTTAGCCTTGGAACTTTTTTTCGAGGAATTAGGAATAGAAGGGCGGTTTCTTCTCTCTGTAGTTTTTTTTATTTGTCGGTTTTTTTTAATGTCAAATGGGCATGGGAATCTTTTTTTAGCGGCTTATTATAGGAAAATCTATTGCGAAGTGTTAGAAAATTATTTTTAGTTTTAGTAATCTTTCTCGTTCATATCTATGGAATTAAATATAATGATAAAATTCAGGTTTTTTGGATCGACTTCTTTAATTGATGCATTTTATTTATTTTCCAAATCTGTAACGTTTTGTTGCGTATCGCGACTTTTCCTCGGGCGTCTATAAATATATGTATATGCTGTATATAAATTAATTAAACAATATCGTCACCCATATTTGTACGTTTTGATATTTTAACAATTAAACTTTTTTTTCTTCAAATATTTATAATTAAAAGTTAATTGACATGATATTGTTTAGCTGATTTATTTATAGATATATTTATAGACACCTGAGGAACATCAAATGAAGACATCGATCCAAAAAAAAAATGAATTTTTACAGTATATTCATTTTTAGTGTTATATAATTTTGAAAGTTCGCGGAAAGAAAATACTTTCTAATATAAATTGATAAAAATTAACTTGATTAAAAAAAAAAATTATTTTTAAAATTAGTACTGATAGAAGAATTTTGTGATACTTAATAAGCTTTATTAATCGGTAATAAATATTTGTTTCGAATTAATAAATTTTTGTTTAACTGTTAACAAATATTTATTAGTAGTTAAAAAGTATTGAGCTATCATAACATAACTAGTTATGGTAACATAAATAATTTTTTTCACTTAATAGTATATACGGGGCATTCCACGCCAAATCGACCACTTTTGACCCTGACCCCTTTTGATTTGGCTGAAAGTTTACCATCTTTTTCTACCCTATCAAAAACGTCTCTCATAATTTTTTTAAATTTTTTTACCCCACCAAAAAAAAGTTACGAATTTTTCTAATAAACCGCTTTTTTATTTTTAAATTGCTATAACTTTTTCAAAAATTGACTTATCGGGACGCTTTTTTTTTTCAAAATTTTTGTTATTAAATGTTCTTTTTGTAAAAAAATTATTCAAAGCTATCTTCATCGTTATTTTTTAAATTTTCCGAAAAAACTCCGAATTTCTTGATGAATACCATTTTTAGTTTCTTTTTTCTTTTTTTCATTCGAAACTTTGACATTTTCTACAGATATCATGGAATTTTCAGAAAGGTGTTTTTTCGATTTCTATTTTTTCTTTTCAATTAAAAAAAAAAAATTTTTTTTTGTCGTATTTTTCATAACACTGGTTCAAAAATTTCCGGAAATCCTCAAAAAACGAGAAAAAAGTATAGAACCAAACGTTGAACATGTTTAACATCGAGAAAATCAATTTTTTTTAAATCAAAGAAAAAATTGAAAAACAATTGTTTTTTTTATTTATTGCTTAATGAATGGTGGGCATTGAAATGAACAATTCTCCTATACTCCAAGTTTTATAGTTGACACGGTTTTGTCAAATGGTTTAATACATGACTATAATGTCTGAAATGCAATAATTCTTAAACTAATAAAAACATTTAGCTTAGCTAAGTAAAAAAATGTTCTTTAACAATATTATTTCTAATGATGGCACTTAATTAATTTTTTTTTATGAGGAGGATTTATTGATGGCGCAAACTATCATTTCTCGACGATTTCTAGAGTAATTTGAAAATAGACTTGGGCCTTCGCAAGGATTAAAAATTTAAAAAGCAATTCTGAGAAGCTAATCTGGTTAACTTTTAGTTCTATACTTTTGTTGTTTATCAATTTCGTTGGTTAAAAAAAAAATTGATTTTCTCGATGATTAAAATGTTCAACTTCTCGTTCTATACTTTTTTCTTTTTTTTTTTTGAGGATTTCTGGAAATTTTTGGACCGGTGTTATGAAAAATACGACAAAAAAATAAAATTTTTTTTTTTTAATTGAAAAGAAAAAATAGAAATCGGAAAAACACCTTTCTGAAAATTTTATGATACCTGTAGAAAATGTCAAAGTTTCGAATGAAAAAAATAAAAAATAAACTAAAAATGGTATTCATCAAAAAATTCGGAGTTTTTTCGAAAAATCTAAAAATTTACGATGAAGATAGCTTTAAATAATTTTCTTATATTTTTTCCCAAAAAGAACATTTAATTACAAAAATTTTGAAAAAAAAAAACGTATCGATAAGTCAATTTTTGAAAAAGTTATAGCAAATTAAAAATAAAAAAGCAGTTTTTTTTGAAAAATTCGTAACTTTTTATTGGTTGAGTAAAAAAATTTGAAAAAATTATGAGAGACGTTTTTGAAAGGGTAGAAAAGGATGGTAAACTTTCAGCCAAATCAAAAGGGGTCAGTGTCAAAATTGGTCGATTTGGCGGGGAATGCCCCATACATATAACGATATGGAGTATTTCAGATCTCATGAATGATTGATAATATGTTAATTTTTGAAGTATACATCTATTTGATTTATTTATTGATTTACTGTTATTTTGACGATTGTAATCATAATGTTTAATATTATTTTTTCATTGAACAGATTACCTGATGAAGCTAAAAATAAACAACGAAACGTTGCATTTTTTAATATACTAACATTGTTGTCAGTTGGTTGAACTTCCCAATAACTTAATAATCATTTATGAATATGGATAAGAATAACATTAGCATTAGCAATATTTAGTTATATTTAATAAATGAACAAACTATTTCTAAATAAATAAATTCATCAACAATTAATAAATTTTTCCATCAGTGTAAGACATGATAGAAAATTCAAGATTTTAAAAATATTTTATCACATATTATTTTAAATGAAAAATCCAATTTCTGACCTATAAATTTCAATATTAAGTGCTCAAATTTTGACAGTTTCTTTATTTTAGCATTCTCTGACAAAATTTCAAAATAATTTGTAAAGAAACAAATTATCGATTGTTTTGCCACACCCTAGTATATTTAAGGTGTAGGTATCTTTAACCCTGAATAATTTTTGAAGGAGTCGATTTGTTAAAAAATATTAAGGGATTTTTTTTTATTTCGCTCGATTGTTTATGAAATTATAAAAATAAATATGAAAAATAGTGATAATAAACCCACTTAACATTAATGTTAAACCTTCAAACTTTCATAAAACTTTTTTTGTCGTCCCGAATAACATTTTTGATGTCTGAACCAAAAAAAATTGGTCAATTTTTTTGGCTTAGTCTAATAGAGTATTTATTAATAGCACCTCTTGTGTTAATTTTCTATAGCTTTAACTGTGTAATATCTTAAGCTCTACATTAATATTTTGTATGGCGCTATAATAATAAAAACCTCAATTAATATTAATTTCCATTTAATCTAGCAATTAATCTCCATTTATTTTATTACATTATCTCTAAATTTTAACCAGTTAATGCCATTTTCTTTTCTTATTTTCTTCTTCCGTCTATTCTGCATTGAGGGTATTTTTTACCGCTAGTACTGCAACGTCGTTAAGTGCAATTAATTAAAGTCTTTCCCACGAGTGTCGTTGAGTCTTGGACAGAGGAAGTGTCTCAAGTTAAGGGGGCCAACGAGACCCTGCTGACAGGCTCCACATTCCGTTAACCACTCTTGAACATTATTAATACATTCATCGGTAACAATACCGCCAATCCCAATTACTTGATAATTAATGTCAATATTTCCCCTCAACGTTAACTTCTCCATTCTCTTCAGAAAATTACCCACAACATCATCCTCTTCCTCATTCCCTTCTGGCTCTTTAATTTGTTCTCCCTCGCAGCCAACATCTTCATTCAGTGATAACGAGGAGCATGATGAACTTAATAATAAATCTTTATTTTTCACCCTCACTTGATAACTCTCATATATCCCTTGGAAAATTTCGGAAAGACCCAACTTCTCTTTCATGTCTGCGTATTTTATTATTTTTTTATCTTTTAACATGTCGACCTCGTTCTTTTTTCCACCAACCCCGGCTCCGACCCTTTCTTTGGACACCCCTTCCGACCCCGGCTTCTCCTTATGGTTCTTTAACTCCAGCCTTGCTACATCCACTTCTTTGCTTTTAGCTTCACCCTGTGTGTTTTTCATGCAATATACATCAAAAGAAGGAAAATTAATTCAAAATTTGACATTAACTTTTTTAATACTTTACTTATATTTTTTTTTAATAATTTTTTAGTTTCACGATCATATAATTTTTTTTTTGGCTTAAAAAGTTGAGAAATTAATGTTTCAAAACAATTTTTTTAATAATCATGAAATTTGTAAAATACATTTTTAAACTAGTTTTATAGCTTTTTGTGTTAATGAAAATTTTATATTCTCCGAAAATCGTGAAAATCGTTGATAAAGTGTGTCGAACGATTTAAAGTAATGTTTTTCTAGATATTGCGTAAAAAAAAAAAACAAACAATTTAGATGATAAAATTCAAAACTTACTTCCCCATTAAAAAATTTTTTACTAAATACTTTATAATTCTTAAACAAGATAATCATTGTATCACCGAAAAATTAAAAAAAAAAATAAGTTATAGAAATTTAGAATTTAATTCCTGATACAAATTTAGGAGATATGAAAAATTTATTTAATATTTTTCACAAAGGTTCCCTTGTCAATTTTTTTGTATCTCCAATAGTTGATTCACAATTTTTAATTTAATTGTTTGAAAATAATTTTTTTGTAAATTGTTCGATACAGATAATTTATATCGAGATTCGTCGTAAAAAATTTGAATCTAAATTGTAAGTAAAATATTGAAGATACAGAGAAATTATGAGAGACCTTTTTTATAAGAAATTTACTTCTTAACAAAAAAAAAATTCTTGTGGATTTTTTTATATTTCTAATAGTTTACTTGAAAGTTTGATTTTAATTTTTCTCTTAACAATAATTTTTTTCATAGGTTGATTGTGTTATTTTAATCAAGTTTTTTTTTTCATAGTTAATTTTTCTACCATGTCAAAATTTCCAAAAATATCACTTTTATATTTTTTTATCGATTTTAAAAAAATATTTTTTTTTTACTAAAAAATTTGCATTTTTTATTTTTTCTTTAAATTACTTTATTTTTGACGAGCTTAAAGAAAAAAAATGTAATTGTTCAAAAAAGTTTATAAGAGTCTTATTTATGGATGAAAGTTTTGTAAAACGTGAAACTAGACAATTACTCATTTTTTTACTTGATGCTGTAAAGGCACAAAAAACATTAGAAAAAAAAATTTCAAATAAAAAAATCGTACGTGTTTCTTGAAACTTCTTTTCAATACAATTGACATATCTTAAGTTCTAGTGAACCGATTCTTTTAAATTTTGTATGAACCTTCTCTATACAAATTCTCCTTTTAAATTACAATCAAAAAAATTTTTTTAACTATTGAAAAAAAATTTTGAATTAAAAAAAATTCAAAAAATTACATCATTTTTTCGAAAAAAATTTATTAAAAAATTGACTTTTTTGAGAAACTTTTATTTACTTATTTTATTATTAATGAATTTTGACAAAAAAAATACGTAATAAAAAAAGTTCAAAAAATGACTTTATTCTGCAATCGCCTTTACAAGCCTTTAACTTTTCCAATAATAAATTAATTTTTTCACTTAAAAATTTTTTTTCTACCTTTTGAAAACATCAACAAACATCTGGTAAAAAAATTCACAGTTAAAATATTATCAGTCTTTTTTTATCAAACTTTAAAACCCAAAATTTAGGCAACACCCATTATTAGTTTCCTCGACGACAAATCGATTAAAAGTTACAGTGAGTTGAGAAATAAAAAGTAAAACTTTTGTTTAAACTCTTTACATATGTATAATGTGTAGTATGTATGGTAATAGTTACACACCTTTGAGGAAACTTTTACGGAACTGTAGTTCGGGTTATTTGAGTAACAATCGCTTATTGACTGCAGAGTGAGACTGCTAAGAGTTTTATCGGCAATATCGTCTTCGTTTTCGTTTTCATTTCCAGTGGAAGCAAGAAGAGGAACATGGAGCTTTTTTTGCTGAGTGCGAGTACTTTTTTCTCTTACCATCACCGCGAGCTCTTTCTCATCAGCTTTGACAGCGTCCAAACGAGCAAGACATTTGATATCACCCCTTATCTCCTCTCTGGTTCTTGTCGCACTGCTTTTCTCGACGCTTGAGGCGGAGTCACAGACACGATGATTACTAGTCTTGCTCTTAGTTTCAGTCTGTTGGATGGATGTTTTTTTATTTAGAAGATATTACTATTTATTATGATGTCAGTTTATCGAGGATTTAATTACCATAATCGATTATTTTTTTTTTCTTTGATAAGTACTAATTAGTTTTTGATTTGTGAGTTGTTAATTTTTATTAATTAGCTCAGATTTTTTAATTTCGCCCTTTCAAAGGTTGAAAATTGGAAAGTTATTGTTTTGTATTTTTTCCTGTACCGTAAGATAATTCTTTCTGGCATATTTTTTCATGCAAAATTGGAGAAAAAATGTGGAATAATTAGCGAATCATTTAGTCGTTTATATTTTTTTACTTGTTCGAAAGTTAAAAAATTAGTAACATTGTTTGAAATTAGTGTAACTTATTTCTGTTATTTGTGAGTTTCCACTTGAAAAAAAAATTTTTTTCAAAAATTGGAACAAAAGTTCAAAATTTTATTAGACTTGTGAAGATAAATTTATAGTTTGAAGCTCGTGAATTTTAAAAAAAAAATACCAAGGTTGACAGAATTTTATTAAAAATGATCGAAAAGCTGTCAAAAAATAAAAAAAAAAAAGGCACGTGCGTTTGTTTAAAGTAATATTGCGTCTATCCTCTGATCGATACCCGAGTTTTCCAATTGACGCAATTGACAATAAAAATATTATAGGTGTATAATAAAATAAACTCTTTATTGTCAGAATAATAGAAATACCTGACTTATGCAAACAGATTTCAAGTCCTCCCGGGAGATTGAGCTCGTAAAAAGCGTTTCATTTTTATCTTTTTTTACCGTCTTATTTCTCATTTCTTCCGCTTTATTCTTTTTCCCGTGCTCCTCCAATAACAGTGAATGTCTCAACGGCTTGTCAGGAATTTTAAGATTTTCAGAAGCAGAAGTAGAAGTACTTTCTGGATTTTCACCGGAGCAATCGAGTCGTGCCAGATAACCATAGATGCTGAGCATTGTCGTGAGTGGTATCATACAAGATCCACCTTCAGGTTCGTCGGTAAGCAGCTCGCAAACATAAATCATCGTTTCCTTTAGACTCTGTATTGTGTATAGTGGGTATACAAAATAAAATAATATTTTGTCAACACAAGCATGACAATACTTACATTCTTTTATATCTTAAATCCATTATTATTATTATTATTATTATTAATTTAAAAAAAATTTTTTTTTCTTACAGAAGTAATAAAACCGCAAGCAACAGCTAAGAATTGATACAGATCCACTTGGCGTCTGTCTTGATCATTTAAAAGTCTACCTATCATCAAGATCTGATAGAGAAGCGTATCCTCAAGACCGATGCCCTGCCACTGAACTAGTAGACTATCCAAGGCCACTTTGCTGTTTGCTCGGCCAAATTGATTGAGAAGGGTCTTCAGGTAACGCGGTGTCAGTCCCGTAGGATGAGTGAAAGGCGGATACTCGAACCGTTCCTGTTACATTTTATTTCAAAAATTCACTTTTGCCCACTTCGGGCTTCCATTTAAGATACCAATATTCTATATGTCTTTAAATTTGTTATTCTTAATCTCATCGAGAATCATTTATTCCTTTTCAATTAACATTTTTTTGGCAATAATAATTATAATGACCATTACTATTATTATTGTATTATTGGTTATAGTATCGGTTAATAATTTTTATGGTAATTAATTCATGGACCGTTGAATGAGTACTTGAGAAGAAGTACTCGAGACTCGAGAGATGAATTAATTTGTGAGTGTTGAAATACTTATGTCGAGGGGTCATTGCTATTAAGTCTCCAATTTTTTTTCGAGATCGATATTGTCGAGGTGGAATATATCAATTTATTATTTACTCTTATCTTTTTTTACCCTCGGTATAATACTATTATAATTGGGGCTTACCAGGTATTAGTTTCAAACAGTTTCAAGTCAAATTATTAACTGTTCTGAGTTTCTATTTTTAAGTTTAATAAATATTAATTAGAATTTTTTTAGTTGATAGACAGCACACTGAAGAAAAAAACTACTTAGTTTGATAATTATATAAATATTCTCTTTAAAATTTAACTTTTGCTTTGAGACATTAATGGAATTGAAATTAATTAAAAAAATTCACTTGCGAAAAATAAATTTCACCGTACAACGTTTTAAAAAAAGAAATTATGAAAATTTTGAATTTAAATTCTGATTAAAATATAAGAGATACGGAAAATTTAAAAGAGATTTATTTTGTAGGAAATTTAATTCTCTATAAAAAATATTGCCATTAATATTCTTGTATTTCTAATATTTTACTCACAATTTCGATTTTAATTCTTCACAAATTTTTCATATAATCTACTTCATTAAAATTATCTAAATCAGGATCCATGATAAAGAATTGAAATTAAAATTACGGGTTAAATATTGAAGATACAAAAAAATAATAAGAAAACCTTTTTTATATAAAATTTATTTTTCTACAACAAAAGCCCTTGTCAATTTCCTTCTAATTCAAATTTTTCTATGCTAAAAGAAGCTTAAAAATAATATTTCTTTTGAAAAGTTATTTTTTCCGGCGCAAATATAAAAAAACATTAAAAATAAAAATAAAAAAAAATAAAATGTAAAACATTCCAACATACTTTTAAAATAGCAAACTCTAACAGTACGAATTTTACAAATTCCCTGAATTCTGTAAATATAAGCACAAAAGATATTCAAAACATCGGCATAATTTAAAATACCAAAGCGACAATCTTAAGAAACAAATAAACCGAATTCCAAAATGCAATCTAACAGTAACCCGACAAAGAAATATATTAATTTTCCAAACACACATCCGACATTTAAAGGTTAGCTTTTCAATATATACCTTGACCGGTGGCGCTTTATTATCAGCCATCGCACGAAAATACCTCGAAGTCCATTCAAGCAAATCATAAGGGCGCGTTTTTATTGCCGCTTTTGCGTAAAGTTTCAAAATTCCCGGCAAAGCGGGCGGCACTGTGATTTGCTCACATGAATAAATGTGTCTGGTTGAACTCGCTGCCATTTTGTCGTCACTCTTTTGTCGATGGCTTTCAGCCAAGAAATGATTATCTTTTCTTTATAAATTGAAAGCTTAGTCTGAGAATAAGAAGTTGAAATGTCGAGTGTTGATTTTAGCAATAAGAGTTAATAAGCATATAGGGCTTAAGGCTCATTGTTAGGTTTAAAGTCGAGAGGAGTAGAGTTGAGGGTTATAGTCTGCAAGGCTAAGGAGAACTACTCGTGCTGACTTCACCCTCGCAACCTCTTGTGTAACAACAGTTTTTTTTTTTTTTTTTTTTTCTTTGCTAGCCACGCTAACAATTGCCGCTACCTAGACCTAGGTGTCCCAAGAGGACCTCTGAGGACTTGAGATTCCTCGCGAGTCGAGGAGTCTACTCTTTGCAAGTGCAGAGACAAGAGATAGGGAAGAAGTTGGAGTAGAGCAGTACAGCAAAAAGATGAAGGAAAAAAGAGAAAGGGGAGGTGGAATGAAATGGAATATTAAAAATTTAACCAGAGAAAAACAATTCATTTAAGAGGTTTTAAGCTGACTATTTCACGGAGATTTTCATGTAGATTATCAACATTAGCGGAGCTAAAAAGAGCGGATGAAAAAACTAATTAATTAATTAATAGTGATAGAGACAAAAAGATTTTACTAAAGGATCAAGAGAATGCCGAGATAAGAGGCTTAAGTAATAGAAGTTATATTAATTATTGGGGAGAAAAAATATTTATTAGTTGCATTGAGGTCACGAGGAGTTAAAATTTAGTGTAGTGTACTCTCGAGAGTCGAGTCAAAGAGCCCATGGATGATGAGTGAGAGATGTTGAAAGTCGAAGTGCTTGGGCAATTAGACTTGCTAAATTATGCCTTCACTGGATTTATCAAGCACCTCACTTTAAAGCTCTTCTATTTCACCCGGAATAATTATTAAGTGAGTCTGTAACGATTCGTACTTTTGTAAATAGTTATATAAGAGGTCGCTTTTTTTTATTTGAAAAAAATTTATTTGATGTTTTGGGAATTATTAATTTTTTAGGTTTTTATTTATTTTTAAGTTAGAATTTACAGGTCAAATTTTTGGCAAGGGAATTTTCACATTGTTGAAAGTGGAAATTTTTTTAATACATTTTCAAACATTTGTAAACATAGATTTTTTTTTTTTAGATTTCTAGATTTGAAATTTTAAACAACTTGAAAATTCGAAAATAATTTCTGGACATTCGTGGCGTAAAAAATTAACAAATTAATATTTTTTATCGGTAAATTTACCAATTTTTTCAATAAAAAATTGATCTTTGAAATTTTCTTTTGAATTAATCTATTTCCTATAAATTTTAATAAAAAAAAATATTTGATTATTTAAAAAAAAACTTTTTTAATCGAATAAATTAATATTTGAAAAAAAAAAAAATTTTTTTTTAAATTCCTCAAAAAAAATTACTTTTAAAAATCACACCGATATTTTCAAAAAATTTCTGTGCTCTAAAATCCAAAAAAGTACATAAAAATTCTCGACCCAAATAAAACTCAATAAAAAACCTCCAAAATATTTTTAACACTCGAGCTCGGAATGTAAATCCAAAAATTATTCAAACCAAACAATAAATATCCATTAAAAAAGTAATAAATTAGTCTTTTATCATAGAGTAAAAAATTCATTAATATGCCAATAAAGTTTCTGGGACTTCTATTCAAAGAATGGCAACGCATCCGTTGAAAAAAATCACAATATTCATCGCAGGTCTTGAATGGATATGTGGAACACGTCTCTCTATATCTTCATACATCTACAACTACATATACCTCTCAGCACTACGCTCTATACGTTTCTCCCCCACACATAAATTTAGTACATTCCCCAGCTAATAAAACCAAATAAAAAAATCTAAAAGAAAATAATCATAGTAAAAATAATATATGGAGATAAATGAAAATATAAAATAAATTTCTACTTTATAAATCGAAAAAAGTCTAGATGGAAAATGAAAAATACATATTTATCTATATATATTAAAAGAATAAACTGTAAAGATCAAAGCGGAAATATTGAAGAGGCTTTTGAAGAGTAAAACACGTAAATAAAATGAGTACAAGCAAGGATGAGCGCAAGAGATAAAAACTCGGAAATTTTTCTATATCCTTAATGCAAGTATGTGCGCGGATGTAATGTGTACACACATTTACGAAAAAAAAAAAAAAAAAAAAAAAAAAAGGAATAAAAAAGAGCGCGCAGTAATAAGAGAAATGTTAAAAATTTAGCGACTAAAGTAATGGCGGTGCGACTGCGGTTACAAGCTATTTCACGCCTTTTTTTTTTTTCTTTCTGCACAATTTTACTTTTTTTTCATTTATTTTTAGCGCTATTTGTTCTTGACCTTTTTTATCCAGTTAACACGCGATAATCCAAGGTAGTGTCTGTAGAATTTTATTTCTAATAAAAAAATTGTTTTTTTGGTTATTTTCGCAGTCTACGTTTTTAACCCGCGAAATCTATATAAAGCTAACGAATGTTCGTATAATCGGTTTCATTTAAACGTTTTATTATGCCGGTTTATTCTACGTGTAGGTGGATGCATCCGCGGGAATGAAAATGAAGAATAATAATAAAAACAAAAGTGAATTAACGAAAAGTTGAAATAAAAATAATAATAATAATAATAATAATAATAATAATAATAATAATGGCGGTGGTGGGTGGAGGATGTAGGATGAGATTATTGGAATCCCTGGGAGTTTTGTGATGATCGAACGCGGAACGACGTGTGGACTCGATGAGTAGGAAGAGAGGATCCAGGATAGAAAAAATTTACCGATAACGAAAAATCTCGCGTTCACTATCGCTTCGCGATGAAAAGTACATTGGAGATAAAACGAGAGTATTATGAACAGAATTGAGGGATCGAGGATGGAGGATAGAGGAGAGTTAACCAAAAAAAATATAATAGTCATGATAATAATCATTATGACAAACACAAAAGATAGAAAAACTTTTCTCATTTACTTTTTTCTGCTGATCGGATAGAATTGTTTTTACGTTTTTTTTTTTTTACTTTTTTTTTGGTATGTAAAGGGGAAAGAGAATAGTTTTAAAAGCTTGAAAATGAACCTCATATTTTTAATTTTAGGTATTCATTCATTTTTACTTTTACAGGAAATTTGTGATGTGATTAATCAGAGGGTTTTTAATTAAATTATTATTGGTTGCGGAATTCATTACTTGAAAAATATGAATTATTTTACATATTAATTAGGGAATGATTCATTTTTTAATTTTAAAACGGGGTTAGATAGTAATTAATAGATTATTGATTTGTAATTGTAGAAAATTTTTTGACAAATAAAGAATAAGTTTTGGAACTTTTTGTAAATTCGTATATTTGAAAAAAATTTGTTCATTTATAAAATACTAAATCTTTATTAAATCATTAAATATAAAAAAATCATTTATTAACATTAATAAAGCTTATTAAATTTAAAAAAATCCTTGAATCAGTGCGCTATAAAAAAAGGGCAACTGTTTTTAGTCGTTCTTCCGCAGTAAATTTGGACTTGTTGGATAATTTGGTTAATTATTCAGTAATCATTTAAAGAGTAATTTAATGCTCTGGAAGATATCAACTATAGATTGCACCCCTCAAAACGCAAAAAGTCTGAATTTATGTTTTTTTTCGCAACGTTTCGAGGTTTCTTTAAAAATTCAGTGTTACTAAATTCAATATCCAATTTAAAAGGAATTTTTTGTTATTTTTTCAATGCACATAATGTACTTCATTTATATATTGAAAAGTCCTTTCAAAGAACCACTGATAGCAATGTGAGTTGTAAAATTACAATTTAGTCATGCAATATTATATAAATCTTATTATAGGATGCGTAATAAAAAATAAAAAATTTAAATTATTTTTTATTTTACAATAATTTACTCTACACAGTAAAAAATTTTACGTCATTGCGTCAGAAAATTTAGTGTTAAAAATTTTTGTGTTAAATATTTAACACTTTTAAGTGTAAATTTAACATTTATTGTGTCAAAGCAACACAAAAAAATTAGAAAAACGGTTCACCCTAAAGGCCATCCCTGCAACTTCCCGCTCATTTTGTACTTAAACGCTTCAAACTACACATTACGTTTTTGAGCTCTTCGAGCTCAAAAATATTGTTTTTGTGTCAATTTGAGCTCTTCGAGCTCAAAAGTCTTATCAAAATTTGATAAAACACGATTTTTAAAATTTTTAAACTGCTATAACTTTTGAATGAATGAACCGATTTTCACGCGGTTGGCGGCAATCGACGCAGTTTCTGAAGCTCCATGAAAAATTTTTAAGTTTAAATCGATCGAGCCATGAATTTCGAAGTTATTACAAAAAAAAACACTTTTTTCGATTTTTTTCGACAACGATATCTCACGAACGCATCAACCGATTCTAACGTTTTTGGTGGCGATCGATGGGGGTTTTTAAGGTTAAGAGCTGATTAGATTTTGAGACCGGTTCAGCCAATTCGGAGATATTTAAAAAAAATTAAAAAAAAACAACTTTTTTTTTCATTTTTTTTTTCACTTTTTTTGCATTTTCTCGAAATCTACCGGTCCGAATCGGTTAAAATTTTCAGGAAATCTAAGTTTGGGCAAGCCCTTTCGAATGGCGCCAACCGCGATCAAATCGGTCAAGCCGTTCAAAAGTTACAAGAGGTTTACATACATACATCCATACACACACACACACACAGACGTACGGAAAACTCGATTTTTGTAAAACGGGGTGAAAACAATAACTTCCCGATTTTTGAAAATCTGAGATTTTTAGCGGGAAGTTAAAAATATTAAATATTTAACTTAAAAATTTTTAACACTAAATTTTTCGACGCGATGACGCAAAATTTTTTCCTGTGTACCTGATATTTTCTAATAAATTTCAATAAATGTCTAAAAAATAAGAACAAATAAAAAATTTAATAAATGATTGACACATTTAAAAATATTTCTCTCCAACATCTTTTATTTAATCGTTGATTATT